TGCACACGTCTCTGTTCTTCTTTTTTCCTTCTTCTAGAAATCGATTTTTCTAGCCAAGGCCAGTCGCGTGGCTCAGACGTCATTGTCGGTTTTGCTAGTTCCGTCAACAGGATGGAATGCAAAATTGGCGTCACTAGCAAAACGAGCGACGTTTGCACGTGCGCATACAGATGTATTCGCGGGTGCGTCTTGACAAGCATTGCACTAACATGACATTATGTAGAACAACGTCGCTCTTCCAAGCGCTCGACGTTCTTTCTCGCACAGCGGCGTAAATGTCGATGATAAGGTAACGTACGGAAAATTCAGAGAGCGGGCAGTAAAAACACAACGATAATAATAATTCGTCGTGTGGTGAGCTTAATTCACGGGCCAGTACATAGACATACACGCGCGCGCGTGCACGGCCAAAGGCCCCGAGGAGATGCGGAGACGGAGACCCCGGGACTTGATTGGAGCCAACTGGTCGACCAATCCCGCGATCTCGCTTATTAAAAGTCATGCTGTTGTTTCGTCTTTTGTCTCTCCTCTTAATATCGGGCATTAACTGTCCGCCTTGAATGTACGCCTGCCTTTGTAAATCTTGTCTGTCTTTCTTTCGACTTTCGAGCTGCAGGATAGGCAGCTCACGAGGATTTATCCAAAAAATGTTGTCTCCCTCTTGAGCCAAGTGTCATTCAAGTTATTTTCCGAGGGAGACACGTCTCCGAAAGGGACAAGAATTGTACCCTCGTTACAAGGGGCTGCAGGATCCGGGTCAAACTCTTGGGCCCAATGGCGCAGAATCTAATGTCGTCAGGACCAACACAGAGAAAAAACGAGACGAAACAATGGTTTGCTAATCTCTTTTTTTTTAATCTTTGATCGGTAGAGAGAGAGAGAGAGAGAGAGAGAGAGAGAGAGAGAGAGAGAGAGAGAGAGAAGCGCATGCTCGCCGCTGCTGGATATCGTTTCGCGGGTGGACGAGGATAATAATAATTCTAGTTTATGACTGGACGCGCCAATGAGTTCGCTCCTACTCGAGTCCTGCGAATTAACGGAACTCCCACGCGTGCTCTTGGTTGACTGTCTTTCGTTCCAAGTTTATGAATCGCGCGAGTAACGTAACGTATTCGAGCAGAGTGCTTCTTCCCTCTCACAACGACTGACAATGGTATATTAATAAATATTTGATAAATTTGCGTGGAAATTATAGCGTCAAAATATGAATATTTCTTTTACAAGTCAAGTACCCTCTTGATATATTTTAATTTAATTAAATGTCGATAATATTATTAGTCGAGAATGTGTGATTAGTATGCTATTCTGTGATGCTGTGCGGCGTGCACGGTATGGGTGCGGTTAGTCCGAGAGTACAAATTAATTAATGGAAATGTATGCGCCGCGTGATCGAATGCGTAAAAGTGTGGAAAGAAGAAGAAAGAGGAGCCCGGTGCGCGCCTGAATTACTAATCAGGTGATAGACGGATCCGCGACTGAACCATACTGCATTCGAATTTAGAAACATGAATAAATGATTATATGAGGAATTACTATGAATACATTGACAAAACATTGCACCTCCCCCTACCGCATACACACACACACACACACACACACAGATTTGGTAATAAAATATTGTTTTCGAAATTTAGTATTTTGAGAGAAAGATTAAGAGAAGATATTAAAATTAAATTTACTAAACAAGAGCCTCCCTCTCTTTCTCTCTCTCTCTCTCTCTCTTTCGAAACAAAGCAAATTTTATCGACTTCAATAACAATGCTACTGTACAACTTGAAAGAGGGGCGAACCAGACGCAATGAAGCAAAAAGAAGAGAGAGATTTGCATCGTTTAATCGCAAGAGTATGCGCGTTGGTCGGGAATATCGCGAGAAAAACGTCGTCATGCGCTAGAATTGCTAATAGGATATACCTACGTATACATATGTATACACATGGGATATCTAGGCCAGCGATATATTCCCGTTGACCGGCCCGTTTGCAACGATCATGGACGATCTCTCTGTTTCTAATTATGTGAGGAGAATCGATTCAGCCTATTATCTAGATCGAGAAACGCTTCTGCGCCACATAGTCGAGATGTGTGTTGTGATTGAGCAATGAGTATAAAAGAAAGATCGGAAATAACATACGTGATAAGTCTTTTTTTTATACGAACATTCGAATGTTAATGAATAATTGAAATTCCGACATAGACCGCGAGAACGATATTCCCGAAGGATGATTCAGAGGGTTCTTCTCCGCGATGCGAACAATCGATCGTTGTCGTCGTAAATCGCAGGGTCAGACGGGACTGTAAATCTCGGGCATTCAGGCCCTCGAACAAAGCGGACAAATCGCGCGGTTCGTATTGTCGACAATCCCCGCTCTTTTTGACACAATGTCTGGCAGGGATCAGTGACAAGGTGCGCCGAATCTTTCCATTTCCATGGCCTTTGAGTATTTAGAGTATTTCACTAATCGCCTTCGTAAATTTTCGACAGCGCTTTGTTCATTGAATAAGCCGGAATTACAATTTCACGGCGAGAATGAGATTCTGCTGAAAATACGGTCAATTGTGTTTTAGCGTTGATTTTTGGCGACTGAGAATTCTTTTTATAATCAAAAAGTGGCCAGAACGAAGCAGTATTTTTGCATGAGTCTTGCAATTTTAACATTTTCCAATACGCGACGACGAAAAAGGGCAGGTTAGTGCTACTAGCCCAAAAATCTAGTTAGTTTGTTCAGCCATTTGCATTGATCAGTTTTTTACAAGTTGCTCCATTATTTATCGTTTTTTGTATTCTTACCGCAACTCGAATCTTCTATTAAGAAAGAGCAACGTTTCCTGCATCGATAACTATATACGATGTTTGCGAGATTTCTTTGATCGAAAGAGTACAGCGAAGGGAAGAAGAGCGACCGAGAAGACGATGGCTTACAACGACAACGACGACGACGACGACGACGACGACGACGGCGTACGCGGCGGGAATGTACGATGAGAAACAGCGAGCTAAACGACGCGCAAAAATCCACGACTCCTAGGAACGGCGAGCTCCCTCTATTTCAGCCATATACGTACACACGTGCGTCAAAGAGTGCGATGAACGCGATATCGTGGCATCCATGAGGACCCCTGTTACAAGTGCATCATTGAGATACACTTGGATGCATCAGAGTGCAATGGAGCGAAATTATGACGAGTTAATCTTATTTTTCCTTTAGAATAACACTTCTCACTTAGCTAATTGATGCCAACTGATTAGTGAATTCGAACAGTCGAAATTTCTACAATGGGGCAACCATATCCTACTAAATTACGGTTGCGATTAATGCGAAGAAGGTACAAGTAAATTGCAATACGAAGAAGATACAAGTAAATTTGTATTCCTACAGCAATTGATTTCATTGCGGATGGGCATCCTCGATACTGAATATCGCAAAGAGGTTACCGTGTTGTACGCGAGAGAAATGTGGCATACTTAGAGAATCGCGATATCCAGCGAGATGAAGGCATCTAGTGTAACGCGAAATCTTGCGTCAAGAATCCGGCTTTTATTCACGAAAATACGATGTGGTCGCGCTATGCAATTTCTTTCATTTCCTAATATAATTTTCTTGATTTCTCGACTCGGAAGAAAACACGATCATAAATTATTGTTGCTTAGTCAATCAATTTTAGATTAATTCATTCATTTACATTCATTCGATCAAGTTATATTACAAAGATGCGGTTGTAGAAATGATTGATCAACTCTTTTTGATCGGTAAAAATTATTTACAGCGTGAGACATGACTGGTTTCACACTGGTTCCTTATCGATAAGAATCGTCAACTACTTAAATTGCAAGCTTGCAACGTAAACACAGAGTTACATAAGAGTTACATAAAGTGACTCCTCGAGTAATACGAGCGCCGATAAATTTTTCTCATTTCTCTCTTGAAAAAGCCGTTTAATACGAGACAAAAATGTGTTGTGATCGCGTAGCATTGGTGAGCTAGATAACCCGATATCGCGTGATAACGTATCAGAAGGTATGATACTATTTCCCGATCAATTGTATGCAACCATGAAATCTATATAGACTCAAACTAACAATTCCGATCCGATTACCCTTTCGCACATAATCCACTTCATCGAAGTCTCACGTTCCAACTATTTTACGAACTGTATCGATCTCGATCGCAAAAACAAAACACTAACACTGGTGTACGGCGCGATCGATTCACAAAAACACACGAGACGTCGAGTGCGCTGCGCGTCTCGACGTAAACTGAGCGCGCAAAACGATCTACGTACGGGGATCTACGGGGCCCGAGCGACGCTCGATCTTATTGGTTGGTGCGCGGCTATCCTCGCAGCCATTCGACTGCGTGTTGAGAAGCGCGCTCATTTTCAAGCGAAAACGTTCCTTCTTAGCGAGATGCACATTACGACATGAGTCAATGAAAAAGTAAAACTATTCAATGGTCTTTTGACCGTTGACGACGCGTTGCAGCGTTTTCCGCTGCTGCGTTTTCGCGAAAAGTGTTTTTCCAACAAATATTTTTACTACTCATTGCAGGAAAAGATCGAGATATTGCGGTACTGTTTCTACTCAATTTCTTTTCATATAAAATGTTACTTTTATATTTTACGCACGCAACACTCGAGAGTGGAAGCTCGGGGGGAAATCGGAAGAAAAGGATCGCGTGCATAGTTCGTCACAACAGGTTCCGGGGAATTCAAAGTCGTTAGAGACCAGTCGGACTGCCGGCTCGTTGTTCCGCTAATTGTCGATTAATTACGGCTAATTATCTACGCCAATTTGTTCCGTTACCACACAGTTAACTCGACGTGTTACGATCATGATAGATACGGTCGCATTAATTAATCGTTATTATTAGCAATTGCAACTTACCGTTTAGGCTCGAGCACGAATCGCGGAAATGGCAAATACTCGTGTAAAATTGAAAAAAGCCAACAGCGATAGCGAAGGTAATTTTACAATAGTGTGCGAATAATGTGCAGTACTCACGTTTGTAGAGAGCTGGCTGGTCAGTGAGTGCACCTTCTCCTGAGCATCCAGCAACTCACGCCGCAATTTTCTCAACTCGTGTGCCTGCTTCTCCTCAGCCGAGCTGTAAAGGCTGCTCGCAGTCGACACCAGCGATACCGATGAGCCGTGAACTGAAGAAGAAGCAAAAGGTATCCCTTCTTTACAGCGTGCGTTAATCTCTTTATTTTCTCCGCGATCAATTCCAACATCTAATAGCCTATCGCATGATCTCGCGAATTTGACGATTTACCGACGCGAAAAGCATTTCGAATAAGCGATCGTTTGATAAAAGATGATGAAATCCTACGTAGTGGCAAATGTCGCATCGAACGTCGACACTCACTGTCGTCGTCCTTGTGTACATGCTGGTACAAGTTCGGTGGTTGGCGCGAAGTGTGCGTGGGTGTCGGTGACGTCGGCTGGGACCAGTGTTGGCCTGTGCAGCCGGTCGATCCTACGGGAACGCTGTAATACGGCTCTACACTGACCCCCATACCAATTCCGACCTCCTCGCCCACCGATGACGAGGCACCGCTTCCTCGCGCGAGCATCGACGGATACATCTTTTCGCTCTTGGTGGATCTGCGAAAACACAAGCGCAGCCCTCTAGATCCCCCACGCAGCGTTTCTACATTCCTCCTAGAGCTAGACTCCGAAGGAATCGTCTTTCGGCCAGTTTACTTCGCGAATAGGCTGCGCGGGAATGTCGAAAAGTCTAATCTTGAGAGACCAAGTTTACGAGTTTACAAATTTCTCCGCACGAAAGCGTAACAAGAGACACAGAAAAACAAACGGCCTCGAGTGTCTCGAGGACTCAGCGTTCTCATCGGCGGTTTAATCGCAAACCAGACTGTGTTCCACCAAGCGTTGTATGATATATATTTCTAACGATGTGACAAATAACAGAATGAATAAATACACAGCGAATGGCTTTCAATTGGTTGGCCTGGAATATCGATGAAGCATCGCGCATGCAGCTGTACAAGCAACACGATCGAAACACGAACTTTGACACAATAGACAAATTTGCTGTACGAATAACGATTAGTACGGCAATATGTATTGGTTTGGAACATCTATAGTGATTTTTTTTCCACAGATTACGATGATCCGGTAAATTTGGCGAAAATATGTGCTCTTATATAACTGTTCCATTTGTTCTATCTTAATTCATTACGTTATTCTTCACGTTTGGCACTCTCTGTGACTAGTATTTATTTCGAGAGAGTTCTCTTCATGACGAAAATAACTCCACGATACTTGAAAAAGAAAAGTCCCAGCTAGGCCAATTCAATCTTTAGACCGGAAAGATAAATTTTGGAAATTTTTTTAACTAGTCGAGAAATAATACAACACCTAAAGATATAAATTTTGTGAGATACAAATTTTTCTGTAAAAAAATCACTACAAACTTTCGTAACAATCCAATACATAGCCTCAATTATACGACGCGTGAAATACACTCGGTGAATACGTATGCGTGATTGCGTGAGTTAATCCTTGAGATTTGAAGGAGAGAATCCGAAGGTCCAAAGATTTGGAATTGATTTTATTTTGCAGCATTCAAGGATTTCGGTGTTTCAATTTTCTTAGAATTTAAGATTTAATGATGGTGAAAAATCTTCGAATCCAAGGATTTGTTCAGGATTAACGGAGAGGATTAAGAGAGGCTCGTAAATATTTGCAAGAACGACTCTCGAGCATGTACGTACAATTGTGTGTGTGTGTGTGTGTGTGTGTGTGTGTATATATGTGTGTATACGCGACGACTCTACTCATCACGTCATTTTGATACTTATGCGTGGCAAATGAGCTCGTTGTATGTACGCTAGACACTTTCGCACTACCTTGGGAATGTCCTGTCCCGCAGATGGCTAAAACGGTCAATCAGATTGTCCTGCGTTATTTTACATTTGGGTCGATTATTCGTAAAAGTGAGTCACAGAGAGAGAAGAGAGAAAGCCGAAAAAAATGTTATCGGTGATTCAAGAACCTATCAAAATTGACGCTGACAAAATGCAAACTGATAACGCGACAAAATTAACTCACCTGATAGAGTTGCTTCTGTTCAATCTAGGCGGTGCCGGGGAACCTGTGGAATCCCTTTGATGCATCAGGAGACGAGCGTGCGTTAGACTCGCGCGATGCGAACCCAATGACTCTACGCTGTCCGCTTCGCACAAGCCCATCCCTGAAAGAAATCGTCGTAGTTTCGATATAACATAACAAAATTCAGTTTAATTCACAGTGACTGCGACAAAAAGATAAAATTACCTTGCGATCGCCCGCTTGGCGTATAGGTGTTGCTGTGTCTCATCCACGAGGTGGTATAAGGGCTGCTAGACGTGTAGTAGCCCTGCAGATCAGGCGCGGCGTAATTGCTGCACGTGTCACTGAGACTACCATCGGACGGTTTCAGCACTCGAGGTGAGAAGGACGCGCTTGTCGGTCCAACGCCAGCTCCTCGCTCGCGATGATGAGCAGCCGCGAAGAGAGCGGTAAATTCCGGACTGCCGGGTTTGGGTAGACTCTGGGAGCCTAGCATGAGACGATCGCGCACCGACTGCGAGAGCTGGCTGGCACTAGGACCCGTGAGACTGTAGCTCTTATAGTGGTGACCTTGACTGGATGCCGACGAGTTTGCCTGCAACTCTGTGGTGCACGTCTGGGTACCGCCGGATACTTTGACCTGCGTCCAAAAGTGTTCATTTATCAAATGAGCACATTTTAGCGATTCGATTGAACAGCAAGAATAATTGCAACTTTCAATATCACCTTGGTCCTCGGCACCGCGCTGACTTGGGCCGTCCTGGTCGCATCCTTGCCGCCATTCTGAACCCCATTGGGACTCGGAGTGGTGCCGGCGCTGTGTCTTTTCACGTAGCCAAAACTCTGCGGTACCCCGCGAACCTTACTACTGCTAGTGGTCGACGTGCCCGATGAAACTTTCTGCGGTTTCTCGCCGTTTGCATATTCGGCCATGGCCTGTTTCCGGTGTTTATCCTGTATTTTATGACAAAGTTGTGCGGTTATCATTAACATTCTATATAATTCAAATATTCAAAGTGCTAATTAGTATCGTAGACTGAACCTGTGATCTTCTGGAGGGACTAGGGCTGGGGGGTGCGCCCTCCTTGTCTCTCTCCCGATCCCTCGCGGCGCCGGCCTCGATATATTTTTTCCATTGCTGACTATTGGAACTACAGCCGTTCGAGCCTTGTTGTTGTTGTTGTTGTTGCTGCTGCTGCTGCTGTTGCTGTTGGTGTTTGAAGGCCGAGCTCTCAGTTTGCTGAGAACTGTCGGACTTCTTCACGTGGGGATGATGACCCGGATGTCGTGAGCTCACCACACGATAAACGAGGTTATGGTTACCTTGCTGCGCCCCTTGGGGGGTGGCCGATCCTCCGCCACCCCCCACGATTACACCTCCTCCACCCGGCACCCTCTGTTATTCGTCAAAATTGTGTTAATTGCATATACATTATATATACATACATGCGTATATATATATATATATATATATATATATATATATATATATATATATATATACTATATCTTTTATGTCTGTAGTACTACAGCTATGAAACATAATGTATCTCATATGCAAGTTTTATATAATTATATAATAATGCAATTATATATTCAAATTTCGAGATTTCAATTTTGGCCGATTTATACAATATACTTCTTCCAAAGGTGAAAATCACTGTTCGCGTACCCTGAATCAAGGACTATCGGGATGGCATAGGTATCGATTCTTGGTATACTTGGCAAAAGACAGAACACCATGCCACGAATCGGAGCACAGGCGCCGCTGTGACGCGACGCGTCGGGAAGGCAACTTTCACCGCTATTCTCGTTGTCTAGAATGTCTATTCTTAACTCCCTCTCTTTCCTTTTATGATATCATGCCTATCATATATATGTATATGTATAATAAAGATTACACAAATAGTAAATAATTTGTTGAAAGATAAAAATTCCAGGAATGTAATAAAGTAATGAAGTAATGAAGAATGATCGTTCAATAATCTTTGATTAAATTTTCTCAGATAAAATTAGAGCTGTTATATACATATATATGTTCTTTTTTCTAAAAGAATTTTATAAATGAATTTTAATAAAATTTCAGATGCAGAATAAAAATTATGATGAAATATATGAGAACTGTCAAGTTGAAATAAGGGTGTGTATTCTCTGCCCTCGTCTATTTCTACGTGGAACAACGAGTGACTCACAAGAGGGTGGAAACAGGAAGGTTCCTCGAGTTTTTACGTCGAGGATCGTAAATATACGGTACGAAAGCTATAAACGAGACAAAGGATCCGCATGTCAAAAATATATATTTTTTTCTATTTCTGACTCTTTGTAAAAGGGTGTACCATATATCTTAGACTTTTCTATTTAAAACTGTTTTCTTTCATTGAAAAAGAGACTAAGTTTCCTTCTCAATAATGTGAGGATTTTAATTAATAACATTTAACTTATAAGATAGAACAGTATCGAAATCAACAGTAGTATTTTTCTCTTTCGTTTTCTGATTTGATGATTTGCCATATATATATATGCGTGATGTATATATATATATATATAGTATAGTATATATATAGTATATTTAATTACATTCAATCACAAATACAAACTTATTCTTTACGTTGTTGTTCTACTTTTTATGTATAAATTGTTTGTCATCGGTTTTTTTCTTCTGTTTGCGTTTTCATTTTCATGTTGCATTTTTATATCGAAAAAGTGACACATCACGCACCACAGTTTCAATGAACCTTTAGGCAGGAAAAATAGCAAACATTGGTATCTTTGAAGCACGCGGACCCGGCACGAGAGTTCAAACAAACGATGCGCCTCTTCCGAGTAGGTGGTTTCCCGAGACTCTTTCGCGGTGAGACTAAGGTTTATTTCCCGAAATTCTCGCTGTAAAAACACCGCATTTTTCACGTTTATAAATGCAGACCATGGCAAAGCGTCGCTTCGAGTGCCGAATATGGCGGGATGATATCGATCAGTCGTTTTGAATACGAACAGAGGATGATTCCGTTGTTAGCGCGTTAAAGAATTTTGCACACGTATGATTTTTTTCAAGTTGCTTAGGATTATTTAAAATGTTATTTTAAATAATCTTGTTTCATTCGGGGCGATTTTTTCTTTGATAACATCGACGAAGTATCGACAAATTATTAAACACAAAGAGTTAATTGGGATTTCAGTGAATTTTATGCATCCAAAGAATTACTCACCATGATGACGAGAATTTCTCCCTCGATTTAATAGTTTCTCCTAAATTTTTTTTCTTCTATTCCTCACTTATTATTTGTAATAAATGTTTCCTTCTTTTACGATTCTATTTTATCAACCGTTTCCTCGTAATGCCTACGGTTTCTAATAATTGTCATTTCTATAAAGATGCTAAATTACTCTACAGCAGCGATATCAGAAAATTTCATATTAAATATAACGCGATATCTTTCTCTTTTAATTTCTACTGAATCAATAAGACATCATTTAAAATAACATCTCGCGTAAGATTTCTATCTCTAGCATTCGTCGTATCGGCTTCTCAATTCTCCCGTTGCATACCGCAAGTGGTGGAAATTGTTGATCAGTGTTCATCGCAGAATTAACATGTCGTGGCTAATCGATCGGCGATCGCTGCTTCGGTCCAAACCGCAGTCACGAAACACCTGAGTCAGCACGTAGCCGATTGTAGTATGCGTGTAGTAACCAACAACGGGGACCTATTACGCGGTTTTCCCCATGAGGAAATTGGGAATGTTCCTGTCAACAGGGCTCTTCGATTCCTCCGACCGCAATTTCGAATCCCATTTCGACTCCGAACACACGTTAACTTTGGGATATTTGTAGATCGAAACATTGAACACACATCACTAACAAAGTTTTTTTTTTATGCAAGCAATTCTTCATGACAATAAATTTAGAACAACTGAATATTTTCAATATTACTTTAACATATCAATTTTACACTAATCCACTGAAAAAATCTCAAAAACACTTTTTAATCAATCTTGTCACTTTTTACACGTCTATTGAGCTACGTTCGACATTAAACATCACCAAATAATAATTATATATATATATATATATATATATATATATATATATATATATATATATATATATAT